ACAGCGCCAGAGGGTCCTCTGTAGGGACACTCCACCCCACTAGCATTGTAGCAGTGCTGGTTTCCCAAACAGAATGTATCACAAAGCTTTGGGATTTTTGCCAATCTAAAAACTGAACTTTATTGAGGCATGACTTAACGTGCAATAAAATGCACCCATTTGAAGTGCATAGTGAGTTGTGACAAATTATCTCGTTTCAGTTACCATAGATTACTTTTGCCACTTCCAGAATCTCATAAATGCATTGTACACGGTACGTGTCCTTCATGTCTGGGTGCTGGCTAGGCATGGCGCCCGAGACCCGTGTGTGCCGCTGCCACCAGCACTGTTTCTTGATGGGGAGTATTGTCATTGTGTGGCTATGCAGCACTTGTTTGCCTACTGGTGGACATGTGGGTGGATTCTGGTTGTGCCTACTTTGAATAAAGCTGTTAAGAACATACATTCTTGTCTCTCTGGGGCCAGTAGGAGTGGAATGGCTGGCTCCTCCCAGGGGAGTGTGTGATACCTCCTCAGTCGCCCAGACCTCTTTCCCAGTGCTGTGCCGGCTCGCGCTCTCGCCAGGCAGCAGCAGGAGCTCCTGCTACTCCGCACCCTCACAGACCTTTGGTGTTGCCTGCCTTTTCAGTCTGGCCATTCTACAAAGTGCATCATGGCGCCTCTCTGTGATGTAAAATGTCCGCATTTCCCTGAGGAGTAGGATGCAGAACATCGTTTTGGGTTCTTACTGGCTGTTGTAGCTCCTCTTCAGTGAAGTGTCTTTTCACATCTTTTGCCCATTTTTTTTGGTTTTTTTTTTTGAGAGGGCATCTCTCATATTTATTGATCAAATGGTTGTTAACAACAATAAAATTCTATATAGGGGACCCAATGCACAGTCATTAATCCACCCCAAGCCTATTTCTCAACAGTCTCCAATCTTCTGAAGCATAACGAACAAGTTCTCACATGGTGAACAAGTTCTTACATAGTGAATAAGTTCTTACATGGTGAACAGTGCAAGGGCAGTCATCACAGAAACTTTCGGTTTTGATCACGCATCATGAACTATAAACAATCAAGTCAGAAAGGATTATTCATTTGATTCTTATACTCGATTTATATGTGAATCCCACATTTCTCCCTTATTATTATTTTTTAAATAAAATGCTGAAGTGGTAGGTATATGCAAGATAAAGGTAGAAAACATAGTAACATAATTTAGTGCTGTGAGAGGGCAAATGTACATGATCAGGTCTGTGCCTATAGACTAAGTATTAATCCAAGCTAGACAAGGGCTCTTTTGCCCATTTTTTGACAGGTTCTCTTTGAGCTGTAAGGGTTCTTTATATATTCTGGGTATAATCCTCTTATATACACTGTATTTTCTCTTAGTCGGTGGTATATGCCCTTTCATTTTCATAGTATCTTTCGGAGACCAGAAGTTGTGATTTTTCTGAAGACCCGATCAGTTTTACTTTCCTGCTTGGTATATTTTACATCCTAAGAAACCTGAGCATTTCTCTTCCTCTGAGTAAGGTTGAGTATCTTTTCTTGTGTGTTAAAAAGCCTGTTTTAAAAAATAGTTTTATTGGGTTTTTTTTCGAATTTTAAGAGCAATTTTTTACTGGTGAGATTAGCCTTTTGTGTCTTCTCCCAGTTTCTTGTCTCTTTGACTTTGCTTGTAGTTTTTCCGTGCAAAACTCCATTTGTGTTTTTACATAATGCAGTGTTTGTTTTTCTTGCATACAGGCCTCAGGTCATGGGCTCTGTGCTCCCAGATTATAAAGAAATCCATCTACGTTTACATCTAGTATTTTTATGTTTTCACTTTTTCTCACATTTAGGTCTGTTCCATTTGCAGTTGATTCTGATGTACAGTAAGAGGCATGGAGTCAATTTTATCTTTTTGCAAGTGACTATCCATCATCCTCATATCGTCTACTAAAAACACCATCCTTTCCTAAGGATTTGAGATCATATTCCCCAGACCTTTATCATTAAAATACTAAATTTCTGTATGTACTTGCACATTCCATTCTCTTGTTTCTGGACTCATTTTGTTCCATTGGTCCATCTAGTCTCATGCTGATGCAACCCTCTCTTGATTATGACTTTATGACATGCTTACACATATAGTAGGGGAGCCTTCTCTTTTCAAAGGTTTTCCTGTATAACTTGCCTCACTCCAGAAAAGATAATTGATTTTTTAAAATTGAGAATTGTGGTGAATTTATATATTAACTTGGGGAAAGTCAACATCTTTATTGCTATTAAGTCTTCCCATACAAAAGCATTAGTTTCAGTTCACTTTTGGGAAGATTCTTGTGAGGACTGTTGCAGGGCTGTTTTGAAGGTGGTGATGGTTGTCTCATATATATAGAGAGAAAGAGATGTTGCACATTTCCTATTAGGTTTATTCCCTGGTAATTTATCTTTTTCTCTGCTCTTAAAATGGGTTCCTCTCTTGTTATGTTTTCTAACTGGATGTCATTTGTATATAAGAAGGCTGTAACTTGTTAACATTAGCTGGCTATATTACTGAATATCCGTCATTGTATTCATCTCAGCATGTGTTTTCTTGGGTTTCCTAGGTATACTTGAATATCATCTGCAAAAATAGATCATTTCTTTCTTCCTTAGGGTACAAACATTTTTAAAGTTTTGTGTTACATATTGCCAAAGCTCTTTTTTTTAGAAATGTGGTACTAATTTATATTCTTTCTGGAAGTGTTTTGCCATACGCTTGTCAGCACTGAGTATTAACATTTTTTAAATATTTGCCAATTTAGTACAACCTTCTTTCGCCTACACGGGGCCCCTTCTCTCCCAGGTGCTGTGCCAAGGCTGAGGGTACAAGAGGGAGCAGAGCAATCTTGGCCCCTCCGGGACTCCATACTCAAGAGGGGAGGAGACTTAAGTTTCTTCCCCTAGCTCTATATTGAGGAATGGTTGCACCATGTGATTTTTTTTAAGGTACACATGGTGATTTAATATGCATATACAGTATGAAATTTTGCCACTATCAAAACCTACTCTTATTATTATAATCACCATGCTGTCCATTAGATACCCAGAACTTTACCCCACTTGTAAGTGAACACTTGTGCCCTCTGACTGACATCCCCAGCCCCTCGGCAATCACCCACCGACTGTCTGGTTCTAGAAGTTGGGCTTTTTTTCAGATTCCACATTTAAGTCAAATCATATGGTATTTGTTGAGGCATAAGTTTCTGGAGTTTTAAAATGAAGATTGCTCTGTCTTCCTGAGCCTGGCAGATGGGAAAAGGGCTGCCCTCCCTGGTAGAGAAACCCATCTCAGCCCAGGAAACTCATTCTGGAAAATCTGAGAAATTATATAACATCTACTCTCCCACCCCCGCACCCCCATAGAGTCCCATCACTCAACCCTCTGGCCTGTGCCAGGAGCAAGGGGCAGCACCAGGACCCTTTCCGGCCCCCTCCACTGTGTGCAGAGGTGCTGGGCACCCTCCCCCATGGAAGAGATGGCTAAATGGATGGAGGCTTCTGCTTTCCCAGAAAGCCTTGCCCTGAGCTTGAACCCCCAGGCCCTGGCTAGGGGCTCCCTAAGTAGGCTGCAGAGGTCTACAGCTCCCGCCCCCTCAAGGCTCAACCCCATCATTCCCCCTCATGCAGCCCTTTTTTGTTCACTTTTTCCACTCATCTGTGCACCCCCTTACTTGCTGTGTGATCCTGGACAAGCTGTCTTACCTCTCAGCTTGTCCATCTGTACTTGGCAGGCTGCTGTGAGGACTGGAGGAGGGAGTATTTGTCCCAGGTCTCCAGAGCACAGGGGCTGCTCCAGAGATGTGCTTATTGAGTGAGTGAAAGAATGGATGAGTGCCTCAGTGGGCCATAGTGACTGGTCTCCACACCCAGATGGGCAGACCTGGAGGGTCACCAGGTCCGGGGGCCCATAAGTGCAGGCTTTGCTGGGAATGTGGGCTCCCTGCCCCTTATCACCAACCCCCACCTGAGGGGGCAGGGCCTGCCTGGCCACACTGGGGTCACTGGACCCAAGAGTTAGCTCCTGTACACCCCATCCTATTATCTTGAGACCATAAGGTATACGTAGAAATGGAGGGGTGGGTGTGAGAGGCACCCACCCCCCCACACACATACACCAGCTCTCAGCCATGGTGGCTGGGGCCTCAGGAGAGAGGAAATTTCCTTCTCTCTGTATTTATTTTCTACATCTTTGATTTTGAAAGCCAAGCTGGTGTTGATATTTACCTTGGCTGGGCCTCCCCATCTCCCTGGGCCTGGCGCGTGTAAACATGATGTTCTTTCTCTCTGCTCTGCTAGCTCTGAGGTGGCCTTTTGCAACCAATTCTAGGAATTTTCAAAGTCTGAAGGCATAAGTTCAGGGACCAGGCCCCCGGGGAGCAGGGAGACCCAGGGCCTGTGTGCTAGCCGTGGGCTTGGCACCCAGGAACCCTGCAGATGGCCAAAGAGTGAGCCAGGCTGGTCAGGGCCCTGCCCCCGAGGGCACACTGAGGAACATAGGCAGGACCTGGGTGTCTCCACCGCCCTGTCCCAGGCCACCTGGGGATGGCGGGCAGAGGGCTTTCTCTCCAGGGACGGCCAGCTCTCTAGTGTTTGTCTGGGTGGCACCTGGACCACAGCTGACAGGCCACCCAGATGGGCGCCTCCCCGGCCTCAGGGAGCTCGCCTTCCGGAGGGTGGATGGGCAGTGAGGAGGGGGCAGGTGGAGACGAGCTGATGTGGGATAGTGGGTGGTGCCGGTGAGGTGAGAGGTCTTCACTCGGCTCACCAGTGAGGCCCTCGGCAAGTGATTTCACTTCTCTGAGATTCGGTTTCATTATCCAAGAAAGAGGAGTGTCAGTCCCTAGTGACAAAGGAGTTGTGAGTCCCCCCCAAAGTCGTCTGCAGACGGGGAGCTGCTGATCCTCTTGCAGACATCACAAGTGCACAGGGCGGAGACAGCACCGGTGGGCGCCTGGGCAGCTGCACACCCTGAACATCTCTTCTTCATGCAGATCTGGGACATGAGCGACGATGAGACTGTCTGACGGGGCACCGGCTGCTCCCGGGCTGCCTGCTGGGGGGGCTCTTGGTCGCTGGAGCATGACTGCTACCCCAGGATGGGAGACGCTGGACCCTGAGCCCCTGAAGACTGCCTACCCCTTGAGGACTGGGGCCTACCCCCTGCTGCCCAGGAGCTTCTGGTATTCTCTGTCCTCATCCTAGCAGTTCTGAGCTGAATAATAACCTTGGCTTTGGCATTGCCGCTGATCTGGGACTCGGCTCCCCCCACCCCGAGCAGTTCTTTTTCTTGTCACCACACGTTTGATAGTCAAGCTTTGGGGATTCTTCTTGCCACTGTGCTGGGAGCAGCAGCAGAGGCTCCGGGGAGCACTGCAGGCCTCCGTGAGGGCCACTGAGCTGCGGGCAGGGTGGGAGGGACACACTCATCCCAGGAAGCCAGAACTCCACACAGGCTTCCTCATGGGTGGCTTGGAGCCCCAACTCCAGTGTGTGGTGGGGTGGTTGTCATGTGTGTCTACCTTGTTCTGGGGCCAGGGGGTCTGCACGTCCGCGATCCTCCCCAGAGCCGGGTGTGGAATGGAGAGGGAGGTGCCCTTTCCCCACACAGGCGTCTGTCCTAAGTCCTGGAACCAAGATCACGCTGAGTGTGAGCCTGATTCCCCAAGAGTAGGACTGCTGCAGGGTGGGTGTTAAATGATGCTTCTCAGAGTAAGATAAGGTTAAAACTGCAGTTTTACAGCCCCTGCGGGTCTTAAATAGGGGCACCCCCAGTCACAGGGACAGGGCCACTGAGTCCCTCCACCCACCCCAGGCCTCCTGCACACCACAAACAGTCTGTGGTTTAAGAGCACTTTATTATTGTTCTTAAGGCTACTTTTAAGTACAAAAAAAAGATGGCCTGCCAAACCTTTTTTTTCTTCTTCCAGGAAAAACAGGCCACAGAGAATGGTATATTACAGATTTACAAACATGGAGAGAATGGTCAAAAGCACTGCGGGTGGTGGGGCTCTGGGAAGAGCCTTGCTGGACTCCGCCCGAGGCCCCTGCAGGGTCCTGCCTATCCCAGATAGGGAGGCCCCGGCCCCCCAGTGTGACGCCCTCGGGGCTGCCGGCTGTGCGGGGGAGCCCTCCGGCAGCGGGCTGGCCTTCTGTGGCAATGCTCAGTAGCCTGTAGCGGTAACAAACTGGTGGCTGTTAAGGCAGATGCAGTGTTCTCATAGACTAACTGTGTTCCTGCACTTTTTTACACACAAATCTACGACAAAAAAAGATCAACTTTTTTTTCCAAACAAAAAAAATGAATGATTACAATAGGAAAGGGAAAAATTAAATAGCTACATATCATTAACAAATTAATTGTTCTTCAAAAAATACCTACAAATTTCTCTGTACATTCTTTACGCACAGCGTAATGATGGTCTTAAAGTTACCTATATAAAAAAAGTGTTCTCAACGATCTTTCCTACAGAAAATATAGGGGGCCTGAATGTGAAAGCCTGGAAGCCCGGTTAAGTGGGAGTGAAACGCGTGCAGGGCAAGAGGAGAAGGGCTTTTCTTTTTGCCTTTTAAAAGACCTGCAGCCCCCCTGTGACCGTGAGAGCCGTCCTCAGACCTTGTCACCCACTCCCTGCCAATTTCACAATCAACCAGCTAAACCGAATTCTCCTGAAAACCAGCCTTGAAGACTCCCCTGAATCCACACTGCCCTGCAGGTGCGGCAGTCAGGCCCTGTCACCTGGCCAGGTGACTTCCTACGCCCTCTGGGAGGCAAGGCGGGACTGCAGTGCAGGCAGCCCACAGGGACGGGGGCGGAAATGGGCGTTCAACAAGCCCAGGAGCAGCTGGACACCCACAACGGCGTCTGTCAGGCTGGTGTCAACCTAAGGTCTAGTTAGTTAGTAGCTGTTACTACATAGCACACGATAGCAATGCGGCACTGCCGGCAGAACGTCCGAGGAATGTATACGGCCTTGTCCCAGCATACGAGGAAGCATACAAAATAACCTACAGAGATTGTCAGGAGTCTGCTGTTCAGCCAAGAGTTCAAGGGAGCGGTTTCTGCAGGGCGGGAAAGTGGAAGACATGAATCCCAACTCCCCCGGGAGGCACTAAGGAGCGGGACAGAGGTGCAGAAAACAAACGGTGAGGTCGACCTGCGGCAAAAACCCTGGCGTGCTCCATCCCGGCCGGCCCGGCACTGTTCGGGAGCAGCGTGAATTTCGAGTACAAACCTTAGGGGACAACTGGACCAGCAGTAAGAGATCTAGGACTGTAACTGACAAAAATAAACGAATTCTGAACAAAAGCTAGTAAATACTGTCTATACAATTAATAGAAACCAGCTATTTTCTCCACTAGCACATGCACCACAAGGCAAGCACTACGGACCCTCCCACCTCAGCTCCAGCCCAGCTGACCGTACTGCTGGGGAAAATGCCTGGGCCTGGGGGAGGCTGCAGCCCAGTTGCAAGCACCTGAAATCTAGATAAAGACCTGTAGCTGGGATGAGACTTCTCTTTCCACAGCTGTTTTGTCTAAATTAAAACAGAAAAACCCACACAAATGGTCAGAAATGTCATCCTTAAACCCTCTGTTTCCTCAGCAGTTTGCCCTCAGCATACTAGCATCTCACAAAAAGTTGTCAGGTGGGCAACTTTTGTCCTCCAATAGTGCAAATCAGACACAACAGTCCTCCGTTCTCTTCAAGTAGACGCACACACAGACACGCACTGGAAGCAAAGCCACACACACCCAGGTCTCAGGAAGCACACAGCGTCTGGGTCACCGGCAGCCCGGCCCGCCAGGGCAGCAGGCCTGCGCCAGAGGTTTCTTTGGTACCCGAGGCAGGAAGGTTGGGCGCTTCGTTAGACAATGTTCCGCACGCAACTCCTGCAATCACGCTTGAGGGGCCCCGGGGACGGACACCAAGCACGTACAAAACTAGAATGAAAATCCCAGCGACATGGTTTTTGCAAATAAACCTTCTCCCTCCACAAACCCTCCCCATTTTATTTTTTTTGTTTTTTTTCTCATTTTTTAAGTACTGACTGTTCAAAGCTCAGGCAAACCATGCAGATGGATGTCGTGGCTCCAGGGTGGCACCCCCTTCACGAGACCACGGAGGGGGAGTGACTGTGGCTGACCATGTGCGTGGAGGGGCTGGTGGGCTGGCCCCTGCGTGAAGCCGACTCGGGGCTGCTGGATGCGCCGTCCTTGGCTGCCTTGATCTGAAGCCACGTGTCACCCAGGGCTTTGGCGAAGTGGTCGTCCACGGAGCCTGTGATGGACACCGAGTTGGGCGCCGGCTCCGGCTCCTTGTAGTTCTTGCCCAGGCTCCTGCGGAAGTGCTCCTCCACCACAGGGTCACAGGTGGTGGCTGTCGGGGGGGCAGGACAGTGCTCTGGTCAGCTGGGGACAGACGGCCCACCACCCTCCCGGGCAGATCACCTCTCTGAACCTGAAATATGGTGACATGCTGGTCACCCTGGCTTAGGTGCGAGTTCAGGGGAAGAGAGAAGGCATTAAATGCTGGTAGACCTTGCTGCCTCCCGACTAGGGCGAGACCCCAGAGGTCAGGGCCCATGTGTTTCTCCCCTCTGCCCCACCCAAGCCAGACACAACACTGGGTGCACATGTGCTAAAATAAAACCCACTTTTTCAATCTCAATAAAAAATAAGCTCCAAGGTAGCTGTTCTGGCTGCAGCACAATAGAGAAGGAATACAAAGTCACCTGACACCCCAGGGAACAAGGAAGCCCCAGGCCCCCAAAGACCCCCACATCACTTACAGCTTGGGGCCCTGCGGTAGCTGGCTGGCCCGGCCGCGGCGCAGCCGCTGTGCACGATGGGACAGTGGGAGAGGTTGCAGTTGCGGGCACTGGCCGAGGCGCATGTGATCACTGAAGGCCGGTTCTGGGGACAGGAGGGGGCTGGCATCAGCTGGGAGTAGGAGGACAGCATCCTCACTCCGGCCAGTGAGTCCAGTCTTTACCTCACCCTCCCACACCGCCCAACAGAACCGAGTGCCATCTGCAGCACAACCCAGCCCCGTATTTGTCTGCCCCCAGCTCCTCTGTGCGGGCCACCCGCCACCCTCACTGCGGCTGACACATCCAAAGCCCTTCCTGCCCAAAGGCAAAGGAAGCCCAGCCCATTTGTCTCGTACTTCCAAACAGTCCAACTGCTGCCCTACAGCCAATCCCCAGAGGGAGCCGGCCTGCGAGGGCTGTGAGGAGCCACCACGGCTGTCCTCAGAAGGTCCCTGCCCTCCCCAGTCTGTGCCACTGTACTTGGGGCCTCCCAGCATTCCCAAGACCCTTCCAGCATACCCTGTGGTTGAAGCCAAAGCCAGCTCAAGTGGGTTTCTACTGTGGCCACACAGATCACGGCAGGGATGGAAGAGCACGCCGCTCCTCACCCCATCTGCTCTGCCAGTGCGCATGCCCCTTCCCCATAACCGCCCCGCTGTCTGCCTAGCAAATTCCACTTGTCCTTTAAAACCATGTTCATCTCTGTGAGGCCTTTATAACCACCACATTCAGCAAGTAAATTGGCCCTTCCAGGCGTGCTCACAGACACCAGCACAGTCCCCTCCCCTCCAGATCACACCTCACTTTACAGACCCTGGTGCAGAACCCAGGACACAGACATCTGTGAACCAAACTGGGCTTCTCCAGGTCGCAGCCTCTCCTCCTGACAGCGCCATGTGGGCGAGAAGCAGAGAAGACAAGAGGATGCAGAGACCCAGACAGGCCCCGAACCAGGGGAGGGAAGGGCGTCCTGTCTCCTCTGCAAGCTGCCCCAGGTTCGGGCCAGGGCCCCTTCCTCAGCCAGCTGTGCCCACAGCCCTGCGCACTGGGAGACACCTGGGGTCCTCCCAGTAAAACTCCCTCCCTTTTGTGCTTAAGCCAGCTCGGCTGCTTTCTGTTCCCTGCAACCAGAGTCCTGAACCAACACAACTGTTGGAAGGTGGGGACTTGTTTGGCGGACAGGGTCACAGAAGCTGAAGAAAAGCCAAGTGTCACAGAATGGATTAGGGAAACTTAAGACTGAAGAATAAACATCTAGCCTTTAGGTCAGTGCTGTCCAAAAGCAGGGCAGGTCACTCTGAGAGAGAATGTGGCTGCTTCCCGGTGTAGGCACCCGGGACGGCGGTGCAGATGGTCGGTGCCCAAGGCATCCTCCCCCTGACCCCACCTGTGCTGAGCTTCCCAGGGTGGAGGCCCCCTACACATGCTCAGTCCCAGCTCACCTGGCTGGCTGCACCCCACACACCCACCAGGAACAGGCCTCACATGGCCCCCAGCCCACCACCCCCGCCAGCACCCTTACTTTCCAGATAGGAAATGAAGGTCAGAATCCGGTCACCTGTTGGAGGTCACACAGCCCCTCAGCAGGGCCCGGGGGGCCTGTCACACGCACTGGATCCAGGGCCGCCCCCATCTGAGGACAATCCTGATGGTCTCTGTCTCTGAGGTTTATAATATGTGACTATATCCTGTATTCCGCACTTGCTGCCAACCTCTGGGTACCTCTGTACTTTCAGAACACTCCATCCCCTAACCATGAAGTGGGGTGACATGTTCTGTAGCCTCCTCAGACGTGCCCCTCGGGGAACTTTTCCAGTTCCTGGAGGTCTGAGTCACACTTGCCAGTGCATGGAGGCAGGCCTGTCCTGCCTGCCGGTCACACACAGCTCTGCCCTCGCCCCAGGAAGCCCTTTCCCTGTGTCACTTCCCAAGCGCAGAGCTGCGGACGACACACACACTTCCCCCCACAACAGCCACCCTGACAGCTCACAAGTGAGCCAAGGCTCCCAGAAATGGGCAGCTATCACTGAGCCGGACACCAGGGCCCATTGCTCATCTCTGCCCTCAGCACGGCCCCTGGCACAGACGCAGTCAGTGTCCCCACAGGAGCTCAGGTTAGAGCAGAGCGCCCAGGCCACACGAGGCTGACGCAGGAAGGAGCTGATGAAGGACTCCCCTGTAAACCAAACACGGGGCCCCACAGCCAGGGTGGGGAGGCAGGCTGATAACCTCTTTACCACCAGCCCCAACCTGAAATGAAAGCTCAGGTCAGTGGCCACCAAGTCAGGGGAGCGACAGCCCCAGTACCTGCCCCAGGAAAGCTGTGGGCTTACTCCATGGCCCCTGGCTCTGTCCACTTGGCCAGGAATCCCTGAAGAACGCAGGTGGGAATTCAAGGTTCCCCTTCCTAGAAAACATGCTCAGCAGCCCCACAACACATCTAACAGGCGGGGGCCAGGCATGTGTCAGAGCAGAGCTGGGGAGTGCAGTCGCCAGACTCGGGCCACTGCCCAGCAGTACGCTTTTTACAAAGCCACTGTGATCAAAGTCAGCCAGAAGGTCCTCCAGGCCATGGAAATCCACGATGCAGGAAAACTCTAGAGCTCACAGAGTTAAAGGGAGGGCGAGGCCCACCAAGGGCCCACAGTGGAGGAGGCTCTAGAGGCTCCTGGAGCACCTCCCACCGGGCCACCCGGGGCTCAAGAGGCTCCACTCCCCACGCACCGCTGGCTCCCCTCCTCCCTGAGTAGCCCAAACTGCCAGAGGCAGCAGCCAGAGGGCTGACTTTCCTGGTCCTAGAAATAAACCCCTTTTATGCTTGAATCACCTGTGCTGCAGCCCCTGGTGCCCCGGAGTGCAAGCTCCAGGCTGGAACTGTCCTGCACGCACACCTCCGTGTCTCCAGAGCGTCAGAGTGCATGGAGCACGGTCAGCGCCAATAAGTATCCAACACGAATGGCAGCAGTAACAGGGCGCCAGGTTCTTAATCAGAGTAAGTGGCGGGCTAGTGACTAACAGCTGAAACACTGTAGCCCACTTATTTGAATACCTGTTCCTCCAGACTGAAACTGTGATGTAAATGCCCATATACTGACTGGCATCTAGCAAACCCCCTGCACACAGTGGGCGTCCAGTTTTGTTACATGGAAGACTGACATAAATGGGAGCAGGACGTCTGGCTCCCGCGTAGGATGCACCACGGTTCAGTGGCCTCTTGGCGGTTCCCACCAAGGCCTGGGGCCTGCCCACAAGCCATTATTCCAGACAGAATCAGAGCCGGGCACCAGGAAGTGGGAGAAGCCCTGCAGCAGGCTGGCAGGCAGGTGCCCGCGGCGGGCAGGGCTGCAGCCCAGAGCCCAGACCTCACCCCTGCTGCACGTGGCACCAAGCACACAGCCTCCTCGCTGTCCACAGTCTCACTGGCTGAGGACCTATTAGGTCACAGCCTCAGGTTGTGAGAAGTTGAGAGAAAAGTCACAGGCTCACGCAGTGTTTCCACCTCACTGCCAACGCCTCCTTTTAATATCTATTTCCCCAGGAACCCTTTTTATCTACTAAGCAAACTCTGTTTATAAAGTAATGGTTTAATTTCCCTGTTTTCCTTTAATAAAAAAAGCACCCTTATCTGCCAGTCACAGGTTTCTGAGCAGCAGGAGCTAAAAACCACTATGACCACTGACTTTGTAAGATTCCAGCCCAGAGCAGAGCCACCTGATGTTTAACATCACCTGTGTTACCTTATAACAGGGAACTGTAGGATCCCCACTGGGGTCACTCCACTGATCCTACAGGAAACAGGGTGGCCCAGGAAGGCCACTGGGAACACACCCAATCCCAGCCAGGCCTGCCCTGTGCAGAGGAGGGGGAGTCACTCACCATCCCCTGCCCCACCTCCCTCACCACCCACCTTCCCAGAGATCGTCCAGCCCTGGGCCAACCCTATGGGGCAGAGGCCTACCTGCTGCCGCTCCACTGGGGTCAGCGTGGGCGAGATGCCCACCGGCCTGCTGGCGTCCAGGCTATTCTTGGTCAGGGCGAGGGGCTGCTCCATGCTGAGGCTGGGGAGGGACGCGTACAGGTGGCTGCTGTGCAGGCCCATGGTCGGGGCCACGGCGCGCTCAATGGGGCTGCGGCTCCGCTCCCGGGGGTCTTTCCGGCAGTCTCCATTGGCAGCTTTGTTCCTGAAAAAGAGGGACGAGCACTCAGAGGGGATCCCTGGCATCTCCTGAATGATAAAGGGGTCCTGACCACGTGCCAGACACTGCACTCTGAGTATTGCATCTCATTGTTCATTGTGCCGTGGAGAAGTGTATCATTGCCATCTCTGTTCTCTGAGGCTCAGGTTAAATGCTCGCCAGTAGGTTGAGGAGCAGGGACCCTAACCCAGGTTGGTGGGACTCCAAAAGGCACCCCTCTGCTCTGCAGCCTGTCCCATGCACGGGCACTTCTGCAAGAAAGTCCACTCACTTGGAGACTCGATGACGGACCTGTGTGCTCAGGACCAGCCTGGCTGGACGGGGACCTGCCCTTCTGAAGAATGACAACAACCCACGGTCACCAGGCACCTCCTGGATGCGAGGTGCCACTGGCATTAGCTCGGTCTGTCCTCCAACAGCAGTCAGAGGGGACGCCACACCCACCCCCTTCCAGATGAGCACACCGAGACTCCGGGCAGTGCTCAAGGAGCGAGGTTCCCAGCTGACCGCAGGCTGGCCAGGCGTAACCGACTTTGGGAAAGGCCCCCACAGGCACTCACGGAGGCCTCAGCTCCATGTCTAGCACAGGGCAGTGCTGTGTGGAGCCCTCCCAGCTGCCCTCTGACCAACACAGGCTACCGGCCATGTCCAGGTCGCACCTAGCACAGACTGCCATGGCGCGGGGCCTGGGCAGCACAGCCAGTGAGTGATGCCACCACTGCTGGAGGCGGAGGCTCAGCCCAGGTCCCCTTCTCTCCCATGTACTCCAGGGCTTCGTTTTGCCTTGGGTCTCAGCCTCTCAAAGCCACCAGGTTCTCTGCTGCCAAAGCCATTGTTTTTAATACGAATCAGCAGGTCCTTTAAGGAAAAATGTGGTGAAGATGGCAATGACCTTTCTTTTAGGGATGCAGATTGTCCTCCAAGCCGACAGGCACTCATGCTCTGCCTGGCAGACATCCTGGGCTGCGGCCGCGAGGCCGGGGCTTGTGCGCTAAGAAACCCAGAGGAAGCAGCAGTCACTGCCTGCCGCCTCAGCTGGCTGAACACGGTAAAACATTATTTGGTATTTTATACATGTGCACATATGCGTGAGGAAGAGGGCGGAGGGGAACTTGCCTTTTTAAATTGTACCTTCATGTGTAGCTGAAGAAATAACACAGAGAGACCCATGTACCTTTTACCTAGTTCCCAACCAGTATCACACCCAGGGTACCAGCACTGGCTAGCAGACAATTCGCCGACCTTCCTGATTGCCTGGTTTGGTTGTATTCACGTCAGGGTAACCTTTTCATAATGCAGATCCAACCGCAACCACTCCTGAATTACAATTTCAGCAGCTCAACCCCGTTGTCAGTGGCCTCCCAGGCCCTCCCCACTCTGGCCCAACCACCTTCCCAGCCTCCTCTCTGGCTCCAGGCCCCCAAGCACTGTGCTCTGTAGTCACAACAGTCTGCTCGCCACTCCTCAGATAAGAGGTGCCACTTTATGCCTCTGGGACTGTGTATCTGTATGTACACATATGTGTTTATGAATATACATGCTTGTGTAAATGTATGACTGTGTTTGTACACTGCACATGAGTGTGTGTGCATGACTACATATATGTGCCTGCCAGCAGCTGTGGCCACTGTGCTCTGGACCCCAGAGTGCCCCATGCAGACCTTTAACAGAGAACCCGTCTCACGGCTTTCGACCATTTCTTCTATGCAGCCCCCAACCACATAGGACTCCTGTGGGTGCACCGCGCGCCCTGCCCATCCCAGTTGTGCTCTGCCTAGCACACTGCCTGGCGTGGCAGGCCTGTGGCGGCTGTGGACAAAGGAAGAGAAACACATGGGTTAGCAGATAAGGAAAGGCAGGCACCATGGGTGTGGAAGTGTGCACAGGCAGAGCCGTGAGGCGGGGCTGTAGACCCACCTGGAGGGGCGTCCACACACCCCGGTCAATATGGGCTTGGGGCTCAGCAGGAAGAGCGTGAGAGGTGCAGGCCCCCGGCTGCAGCCCCCAGTTCTGCTGCGCCATGTCTCGGGCACGCCACTGAGTCTGGTGTCCTGCTCTACCCTGTGGTTCCGGTGAGGTCCACCAGGATGGACAGGGGAGTGAACATCACACAAAGCCCATCACTCTGGCACAGTGCAGGGGGTCTGTGAAGTTTACTGGTACCAAATCAGTGTTAAGTGTAGATTATCAATTATAGGGTGATTAACTGTTTAAGGCAGAGCATTTCATTTGTGGGTAGATAAATCTACCCACCCCTTTATTCACTGGTTGACTATATAGAATGACTTAAAGGCAATTAGAAATAAATCGTCAGCCTATTAAGACAATTCTGGCAGAGTATGTTCTAGGCAGTCTAGATGGTATGACCCATATCTGCCATACACATCCCAGCAATTTCCAAATAATTACAATACCAAAAAGAAGAAAAACCTTAGTTCTGAAACAAACTGGTCTATAATCTCATCTTCCTGTGATGGGTTGGAAGATATCACAGGCCTTTGCAGTGAACACCTGGGGGCTGCGATCCCAGACACCTAAGTCACTGCAGTTCAGCTGTGGGGACCTTCCACTTGACAGACTGCAGGCCAGTCAATCCCGAGATACACAGGCTTTTGCACCTAAATGGGTATTTATCGGTAAATGCATATGGATCCGTGTAGGAGAAGACTACATAGTCACACATATTTTTTTGTTCAGTAGTATCAGGTTTTCTTCTAAATTGAGATGAAATCTAATGTTTGACAAGGTACACATATTATTTCCTTGACACGATCCTCTGCCTCTCCCTTCCCGCCAAAATGAGGTTTCTGGAGGCCACTTACTAAGCTGTGCGAACTCAGGGAATGGGTTCACGGCATTCTGTTGGAATCTGCCTCCATCCAACTGAGACTCCAATTTAGTCAGCCAATGTTAACTGAGCCCCGATCCTGTGAAGGTCAGAGCAAGGACACGGCCGGGCCTTCTCATGCACCCCTACCTCGGCAGGGGAGGGGCCACAGGTCCCAGGTGAGCGCAAGAGCCGGCAGAGGCTGGAGAGTCGGGCCAGATCATCGCCCGCTGGTGGAAGGGGCGGCCAAGGCCCAGGCTGCATCTGTCCCTGTCCAACACCAAGGTCCCCAGGACATATGTACAGCACTACTGACCCCTGCACCCCACGCCCAATGCCACCTCACTCTGGGCCATGTGCAGGCATGTGCATTACTCAGTGGAGCCACGGCCCAGTGACCCATGTTACCAAAGGTGACACCCAGAGCGGCCACGGGCTGTCCAAAGGCACCCAGCGATGGTGGAGGGGAAGGCAGGGCAGTGCCACCCCGCTGCCACTGTCAGTGCTCCCGAGGCTTGCTCTGCGCCCACAGCGCACTGGGAAGCAGGGTGAGAGGGCTTTGGGGGAGGCTAACCAGAAAAACGGTCAGCGACATGCGTCATACGGTGGGTGTCACAGCTCAGGACACTGAAGGGCACTGAAAGCAAGCATCTGAAGAACTCGCTGGTTAATTTTAGCAGAATTATACATTACTCACATTTCCAGCTCATGTTCCTGGTTCCCAGAGCTTAAAGACAGACATTGTTTTCCACATCGCCCCTGATGAATCATAGCCCCAGGCCCGCCGCTTCCCAGGCGTCATGTGCGCTCCTGAACCGCAGGCCCAAACCACACGCTTCCTGCCTGGAGATCACAATCACCTCTGTTCACAGGAAACCAGCTGCAGCCCCACCAGAGCCTAACGGGCTCCCGGGGGTCCCAACCCCGAGGGCCGGCTGACCGCACCTCCTGGAAGTACACCCTGAGGGCGGCATTTCCCCTGCCACCGACTCAGGAGAGAAACCGGCAGGGGGGACGGACGGAAGTAAGGGGGTAGGAAAGAAGACGCCTCTTACACCTTCCTCCAGGACAAGGCGTCCGGGGAGCGATCCACTCCCTCCGCTACCCTTTCCAAGATGAGAAGACAAAACCGTCCACAGGGTCTGGGAAAAGTTAACTAGGTTCCCACCAGGGAAACCGTGAAAGCATCCATCATGTGAACATAGGGTATCGCGGCCATTTGTACGCTCCTTAGCACGATCTTCCCGCCCTGACCAGGGGCTCAGGCTGAAGCAAGCCCTTGGGAAGGAGTGTGACATCGCCCAGCCTCGGCCATCCCATTAAATACCGATGGCGAAGAGCCAGCTTGAGCCTAAGTCCGCAGGGCAGGAGCATGAGACATTTCAGGGAGTACTCTCCAGGAACTGTTCTGGGCCCCGGGGGCCACCTGGGGGCAGGCCCCGGCCCCTTAGGAACACACAGCGCCTCCCCCACGCGGCAGGGACGCCCTGGCAGGAGCGCACTGAAGGGCTGTGCTAACACCCAGCGGGCACGAGGGCTTGGGTGCTGGCAGCGGCTCAAAGCGGGAGGGAAACAGGCGCGGGGTCAAGGCCCTGGGGAACAGGCCTGTGATCGTGAAAGCATCCATCATGTGAACATAGGGTATCGCGGCCATTTGTACGCTCCTTAGCACGATCTTCCCGCCCTGACCAGGGGCTCAGGCTGAAGCAAGCCCTTGGGAAGGAGTGTGACATCGCCCAGCCTCGGCCATCCCATTAAATACCGATGGCGAAGAGCCAGCTTGAGCCTAAGTCCGCAGGGCAGGAGCATGAGACATTTCAGGGAGTACTCTCCAGGAACTGTTCTGGGCCCCGGGGGCCACCTGGGGGCAGGCCCCCGGCCCCTTAGGAACACACAGCGCCTCCCCCACGCGGCAGGGACGCCCTGGCAGGAGCGCACTGAAGGGCTGTGCTAACACCCAGCGGGCACGAGGGCTTGGGTGCTGGCAGCGGCTCAAAGCGGGAGGGAAACAGGCGCGGGGTCAAGGCCCTGGGGAACAGGCCTGTGAGGGTCACAGCCAAGACCGCCCCGCCGCCCTGCCCTCCTCCCCTCCCATTTCAGTTCTTGCAAAGCATCTGCCCTCTGGGAACCAGGCTAGTGACAGACCTTCACAGTCCAA